CAAGAAGAAATCTGTTGTAGTTATATTAAGAACTGATTAAATTGACTTTAAGACATTAGCAGAGATAGACTGCCAGGCATTCCTGGTGCTTCTCAGTGTGTCCAAATTTCCTCTTTTTCTGAAGACACCACCTTAATAACCCCATTGTACCTTAATCACCTCTTTAAATACCTTATTTCCACATAAGGTTATATTCTAAAGTACTGAGGTTTAGGGATTCCATACATGAATTTTGTGAGGATGCAATCAACTCATAACAGGAATAATTCCTGTAACTCACAGAAAACACTTATCTGATGAGCTTGAAACTCACAGAAGATGAATAACAGTTTTTACTAGATTCTATTGCATAACCAAAGCCCCAAGACTTCTGCAGTTTACAACATAAACTCATATTGGCTGTGGCTGCTGTGAGCTTGCTCCACGTGTTTTCTCATTCCAGGCACAGATAGACAAACAGCTCTTACCTGGGATTTGCCATTCCCATGAAGAAGGGAAACAGAATATAAAATGTGGTGCAAATACACAGTGGCTTTAAGAGTTTCTGTTTGGAGGTGACATACCCACCACCATGACTTACTTAGCTAAACCAGTTCCCGTGGCTTGACACCCACACTTGATAACTGGTTATTCCTTCAACAGGGAAGCACGCACGGTAAGTCAATTTCTACAGGTGTGGCTGTAGAATCCCATTACAGGGAAGTAGAAAGCAGTTAACTGACAGCAATAACACAAGCTAGGTCATGGATTTCCAGAAATATACTACTCATACGCATTTTGTAAAAACAAAGTCAAAAATCTAAATCACAGAATTTTTGTCAAGTTTGCAAGAAACAACAGGAGATACCAGCAAAACACATGGATTAATTTCTTACTTGAAGATCATGTGATACTCGTGAACCAGAAAGCATGAAAACAGTTGTCTTCTATTGAGAGGACTTGCTTGAAAGTTCACCTTGGACTGATTAACCAAAAAGCACTGAATTATAGAGCTACAGAGCTTAATGATTTTAGACACAGCAAATGTTAATCTGACAACAACCACAAAGTAATTAAGACACAGGAAGGTTAATAGAGCCAACCCTTGTTAATATGGCAAAGACAAAAATCTGTCCACCTACCCACCCCCTAGCCCTTATGCCCAACCCGTCACCTCCCACCTCTACTCCCTGCCTTATTCTCCAGAGACTTTTTCTCAAGTCTAGTGTCATCTCCTGCCTGTTCTAGGCTGGGCATATATTTTTCCCCAGTCTCTTATCAAACGTGTTGGTTTGGGGTTTTGAGTTTTTCTGGCTTTATGTTGAAATATGGCATCTCTGTGACCCCTTTTAGTCTCTGTTCTCTCCTACTTCAAAGGTAAAGACTCTCCTCCTCCTGACACCATAGATTAGCGTTGCCTGGTCTTGTCTGTGCTTTTCTGTGTCTGGCTTCTTTCACTCAACACTAGATTTGTGGTAGTAGATTATCCATTGTAACTGATGTATGGAAGTCCATTGTGTGACCATATCGTAATATATTTACCTGTTCTACCCTGGACAGACAATTGGATAGTTTCTGGTTTGGAGCTATTATGAATGGAACTACTATGAACATTCTAGTTCATGTCTTTTGGGGGAACTCAATTTATCAATTTCTTTAAGTTGATACCTAGGACTGGAATGACTGGATCACAGGGCATGTGGAGATTTAACTTTAATCATTTTCCAAAATGGTGGTACCATCCTCCAGACTCTTAATAAGGATTTATAGAAGCCTTAGCAGTCTGCACAGGATTTTCAAAAGAAGCAGACCTTGAATCTAGCTCTTCTGATTCCAAGCCTAGCACTTATTCCATCCAGTAAATTCCAGATTCTTCCATCCTATTTTCCTCTCCTCAATACTATAATATTGCCTTTTTCCTTTAACATCGCCTCACAAATGAATAGCTAGTCATCCATGGATCATTCTCCCAGAGTTTTTTGTTTGTTTTGTCTTGTTTTTGCTTTTGTTTTTGCCTCAAAGAGGATCAGTGGTATCTCCAAGTCTAATGGTGGGACTTTCAGGTTCCATAAAAAAACCAATCTGTAGGAAGGAGCTGGAAAGAAGAGAGAGAAAGACAATTTCAGTCACAGGAAAGTGCTCAACAGAATCACTCAGATCCCAGTTGGAGGGTGATCTGAATAGAGCTGTCTCTGATGAAGCACAGTGGAAAATAGAAAACTCATCTTGCAACATGTGAACTTCAGGGCAGACATGCTGGAAAGCTGTTACACCCTGACTTCTCCAAACTGATACAGGGGACCCAGAGGGAAGCCTCAGAAGTCACATTAAGCCACCATCTTCACATCTCCACCCAGGAGGGCATGAGCAGGAATCTGCTGCTGGTTTCTTGACAAGGGCCTGTATGGGAGCCCTGTGCACGAAGAAATTGAGCAGGAAAGATTAAGAAAGATGACAATGAAAATCAAACCCCAGCCTCCCAACTACCCCTCAGGTGTGCATCTGTTGCCCAATTCTGTGTTATAATTAAAGAGAATGGTTTTTATATATTTAGATACTTCCAATACCTGGATTTCAATGTAGTTGAAGTTAAAGGGTACTAATTAATTGTGAATCACTCCAATACTTGAATATAAAACCTCTCGAGCCTAATGTGCAAATTTATGTAAAAACAATGTGAAAATTAGAAATGCATTGGCACATTTTTTTAACCAGAACTGTAGCACTCTGTCTAGTCAAACAGACTGCTCATTTGCAAGTTGTCTATATGCAAAGCATTTTGCCCCTGGGAGCCTAAAATCTCCTTAGCAAGTCATCTGAAATTTGAGAAGAGCTTTGTTCTGAACCTGATTTCTGCTCTCTTTACTTTTTCTTCTCTGCTTCCAGCATTGTGGGCAAAAAGCCTAAGTATGGATTACACCTGGCTAGCCCAGCAACAGGCATAGCCCAAAACACAAGGCTCGCCCTGGGACAGCCATTTGAGTTCAAAGAAGGATGTCTAAATAAGCTTGTCTTGAGCCCTGTGCATTGGCCTCCACTGCAGCCTTTCCCATTTAAGAGAAATTTCAAAATCCAAATGCTTCCAATCCGCGGGACTCAAATTTCCCTTTGCAGATCAGATCTGGTAAAGTAGAGATTATTTGCTGTCAGGTCCTAGGCTAGTAACTTTTTCTGCCTTTCGCCTTTTGTTAGAAGTTAAGAGAAAGCAGAGAAGAGAGAAAGTAAACTGATCAACACTTCGCACTGCGCACTGTGTCTTCCTCCCCCAGCCCTGGGGGAGAAGAGCCGGCACTGGCAGGTGCTCGGGTGCAGCAGCAGGGGGCGCACTTGGCTTGGCTGGGCCTGGGCCAGCTGGCTCCCGACAGAAGTGGGCCAGAGGTCAGTCCCAGAGGCTTGGAGATGGCACGCCCAGGGGTGGGAGGAGAGGCCTCTTTGGGAATTACCTTATCATTTAACTCTTCAGGTGGAGGAGGAAGAGATGGGAGGGACAGAAGGAACTGGCTGGCAGCCAGGCCAGACTTAATGGCAGCCTGCCAGTGCTCAAAAAAGCAGGCGGTGGGACAAGACCCTGAAGAGGTGCTCTCCGGGGCAGGAGCCCATCAACAGTCACCGTCGCCTGGTAAGGAAATGGCTCAGGTTTTTCCCAGTAGCTCAATCCCAGATGAAAGGGACATCATCCCTCGGCCCCCGAAGCTCAGACATTTGACTCTACTGACTCCTCTGCCCAGAGGCCCACTCCGCTGGCCTCAGCTCACATGGACGCAAGTTATGAAAAAGCTTAATTTTCTCATATCGAGTGTCTCTGCAAATGCTGCTTTCCATTGTGACTAGTAAGTTCAGTTTTCACCGACTTGGGTACAATTGTTGTCACTCTGATATACTAAGGCCTTGATACCCAGAATGTGGTCCCAGGTCAGTGCCAACACCACTGACTGTGAGCTTGCTAGAAAGAAAAGCCTACCCCAGACTTCCAGAATCAGAATCTGCATTTTAACAAACCTCCCCACTGTGCCAAAATGATTATTTTCTGACCACAGTTAGAAAGCCAAATTCTAGTATTTCCAGGAACCAGATAGGTAACCTTGAATGAAGCACTTGATTTCTTCAACTCTTAAGTCCTTATCTGTAAAATGGGCACACTAATCCTGCTTAATTTAAGATGTTTAAATTGAATAATAAATTATTAATTTGTGATACAAATTGTGAGTCATGTTAGAAATGTTCAACTTTAGTCCTATGCTGTGTCCCAACTCGATAATTGGGTTATAAACTGAAAACAGGACAATCTCTCTTTTACCTCTTTTTTTAATCTTCCCTATACACTTAAATATAGTGTTCTGCCCATAATGGTGTTGACTATTTGACATTTACAAAAATCTCCCTTGGACTTCCCCTGCCTTAAAAAAAAAAAAAAAAAATATAATTTCAATTCTCTCCAAAAGAGATGCTGTCACTCTGACCTAATCCTCTGAGGTTCATCCCTCTAAATAATTGTATTGTCTCTATCTATAAAGCACTTTGTTACTATGGCAACGCATACATAATTGCATGTGTAAGTAAGTGAGGGTGGCTGTACAAGTCAGACTCCTTTCCAAGAGAAAACACAGAAAACATTCTATCCACCCAATGTTTCTCTCCCATAGGTTTTCACCAAGTCCTTCATAGTTTCTCAAACTTATATATACTTTATGAACACTATAGAGCAATAGGAGGAAACGGATTGATAACAGTGGGAAATTTCTTGAGGGAGGAAATTGGAGATCTGGGTCCCAGTTCAGATGCTGACACACAATTTGCAATACAACTTGGCCCAGGGCACTCAGCTTTCAGAGCCCCAGACTCTTGTCCCTAAAGGTAGGTGAGGGAACAATATGCTCTCCTATGGCTCAATCCCTACAACATTCTATAATATTCAGAGTTGATTTTAAGAGTCACTTAACTGAAATTATTCAATAAACCTTCATGGCATTAAACATTAACACAGCTCTTTTTATGTGGCATGGTTCATTACAATGCCAATAAATGATTAATTATAACTCTCTGTCTTGACCAATAATTTTGCTGGACTTTTATGATTCATAATTTGAACTGTGTTGTAATATTACCCCTCGAAACTGACATACTAGCATTTATTGTTTTTTATTGCATCTCTAAGGTGGCGTTTGAAAGAGGCTCCAAGTGACACATGTTTAGGAAGAGTTTAAAAGTGTGGACATGGTTGCAGTATAACTAGTCTTCACTGGCAGCAGAGCGAGGACCCAGGGACCAGAGCTTCCGTCCTGTGGACTTAGCCTTTTTTGAGCCGCCGACCCAACAATGAATAATTCTACGGGCTGCCTGGCCAATGCGACAGTTTGCAATGGTACATCCTGTGTGGTAGCTGACAGCAATTTCAATACCATTCTAAGTGTGGTCCTGAGTACCGTGCTGACCATCCTGTTGGCCTTGGTGATGTTCTCCATGGGATGCAATGTGGAATTCAAGAAATTCCTCGGACACATCAAGCGGCCGTGGGGCATCTGTGTGGGCTTCCTCTGTCAGTTTGGAATCATGCCCCTCACAGGATTCATCCTGTCGGTGGCCTTTGACATCCTCCCCATCCAGGCTGTGGTGGTTCTCATCATGGGCTGCTGCCCCGGAGGAACGGCCTCCAATATCTTGGCCTATTGGGTTGATGGTGACATGGACCTGAGGTAAGAGATCTACTCTAACTACTGCAATCGTGCCAAATTCGTCTTTTCAGAAGCCGGTGGCATTCAGAATGTCCATCCGATCTGCCATTGATCCAAAGTGCGACCAAGGAATTAAATGGGGAAAAAAAATGCATTTGCGTGCCTCCCAGCACAGCTGCTTAGCTATTGGAATCTGGGGATTACATTTCGTGTTTGTGTTTTTAAATCTAACTCAGTTAACAGGGAGCTGCATAATTGCTATTTATCTCTGGGAAAAGATTCAAAGCTTTTCAAAAAAGGAATCTTATCCAAGCCACAAGCTGCAGCTGAGGAAGTTTATCCTGTTGGTATCAGGAAAAAAGAAAAACCAGAAACAAAAACCACTTTCTTTGTAATAATGAGGAGCTCTGGGTGCAATCATGAAATCAAACTGTCCATCAAACATTACAACCTATGGTGAGACAATGGTCAGCTCCACCAAATACAGCCAGGTCTTTGGACAAACTTTTTCTTGGTGTAAAACCTAAGGAAGAATTCATAAATTTGCTTTACCTCTACTGGCATTAAAAGGAAAAAAAAAAGCCTACAGCAGCTTTTTTAAAAATTATGCTTACCTTACTATAAAATAAACAGAAAATGGTTTTTCCACTTCCCACAGAGTAATCTAAATTGCAATGTTTGCCCAATTCATCTTGTGCCAGTCTGAACTAGCGCTGGGGGGAGAAAAAAACTAATAGAAATAAGAAGAAGCATTAACGGGACTAGACCAAGAATTTTAATGCTGAATGTTGAATAGACAATATCTTCTTCCTTACCTCACAATTCCTCATTTCCTGTGAAAGGTGTGCATTTCTGCAAACCATCCAGGTGTTTATGCAACGTGTGTTTATTAAACACTGTACAGTAGGCAATCAGCTCTGTTAATCCCCGCCTACTATACGCAGAGGAGAGAAGTGCCAAGTGTAGAAATGTACCCACTGGGTTGATCAAGTGCCTAGTGAGCAATTAGGAACCTGCTGTCTTATTTCAACTGGTGCTGATTTCTCCAGAAACTTTACAAAAACCATATGAACCATATACTTTCACATTACTTAGTTTTCACATAAGAAAATACAGTATCCACCTTGCAATAGACTTATTTTAAGATAAGCCCTATAAAGGAATAAACAATTCCAAGTGCTATTCAGGCTTAGTTAATCTGTGAACCACAATATAACAATAAGGGATTTTTTAGACTTCAATTTAGTTTGACCTGGACACAGGTACACAGAAGTGAGAATTCTAAATACTAGCACCTATTAAACTAAAAAGAATAAGCTGAAATATTGGGCTTTGCCCTCCACTAACCAGCTTTTACATAACATCTGTAATTTTTAAACGATGTAGAAGAGTCTTATACCCCAACATAATGCCACACATGAAATCCTTTTTATAAGATACAAAAATCATGTGTGATGCTTGGTTGTTTGACTGTTGAAATGGATTCTCTTACATGGGCTAAAATTGTAAGACCTAATCTAAACGCTCCAAGTCACATTTGGCTATGGTTTTAAGGAAATCTTTTTTCTCTTGAAACAAGAGATGATTATGTACTCCTGCCTACCTCATATAACAATTCAAACAAATTATTTTTTAAAATAAGAACCAAAAGTAGGATATGAAATCTTGGTAGAAAACCTCCAGCTGAATCAGTATAAATGAATCAATTCTTCAACAAGGTAGAATACGCTTTACAATGGACATACGTCAACCTCATTTATCCAGAACTCAAGACCCAGTAAAAAAAACTGTACACCCAAAATAAATTCCATGTAATCTTGCAAATGCTCCTTACTCAGAAGCTACTTAACTTTCATCATTCTATGAATAAACTCTGTTGTGCTATTTCCCAACACACAGATGATCAGAAATAAGAAGTAGGGAAATAAGCAGGGTGTTAGGAAGGCAAGCCTGAGTCCCACCAGGAGCAAGAGAAAAGACCAAAATGCCTTTGAAACAAAGAAAACAATTGACAAAACCCTCTGCCTTACTTATTCTAGGGACAGACAGCCCTGTGAATACAAGAAGGCATCACTGTATTTTAGCACAGTGAACGATGATGTTGATCACAATGGGCCGTAATTATTAAGAAGAGGTTAAATTACACTGCCGTGTAAGATGGTGACATTATGAATTGTGTATGTTAGGGAGAAAATAGTGTTCAAAAATTTCTTTAAACAAATTAAGAGAGTAAAACTTCAGTTATTTGGGTAACAGTTTTCCAAAACTTTTTATTTCTCTGGAGTATTTGATAACTAAAGTCTCATGATGGTTTACTTAGACACAATCCTATCTAACATTTATATTTCCAATTCTGGACTCTTGGAACTTTATCTTCTCCATCCTCACTTGAACTCCAGCAGTGGCAGTCAAGACATAATTGCTTATATTAACAGGTACCTTCACTGATTAGCTGATACCACACAGTGCCAGCAAAACAATTCCACCTGGCTTTAATTTTCCTGGATGTTGTTCTTCAGAAACCAAAACATTTCCCAGTCACCCTATTAGCTCTTCTGAACCTGGAAAGCCATGGCATTTTGCAATCTCTAGCAACTTAAAAAATATATAGATAATAATAAAAATAAAATAAAATAAAAAATAATATATATAGTTATCCTTGCTCATTGAAGTATAGCAAGTGATCCCCGGCTTTCTGACTTATCATAAATCCAAAGCAATCCCTCCTATGCCGACCACATGAATGTCCAGCTCCTTTCTACTCTGGGAGAGCTAGACCAACACCATTTGATTTTTCCTTTATCCTGCCTCAAAGTAACCAAACTTCGTGTCTCTGATGTAGGATTTATTTTTATTTCACTCTATAATATTTAAATATAGTATGTATAATACATGTTATATATGTAATATATATATATATATATAATGTGTCATGATATATACATATCATGTATATATCATGTATCATGCACAGGGTGCATGTATCATGCACAGGGTGAACTACTCAAAATGCATTGATGTATTTTACCCTCCAAAGAATCCTCTGAAGTCAGTACTATTATTTCCTGCATTTGATAGATGATAAAATTAAGGTTTATAACTTTGGCCAAGTTCATTGAGTCAGAGCATGTCAGAGTCAGAACTGGAATCCAGACCTATCCGCCACCCCTGTCGCAAATCAGAAACTGCTCTACATGGTTTCTGTCACTCATCACTTCTCCAGTTTGCAGCACCAACCATTGTACATCTTTTGATCCTTCAAACTTGGTGTTTCACTTGTAATATGATTGCAATCTTATGCGTTTCATTATCGCTGATTTCACTGAATTCCTCAGCATTTACTAAAATTTCACTTATTCTTTCTTTTATTTCCACCCACACACACAAAATTCTTCCTGGCAGTTAATAGAGCCAAAGCCAGGAATTAAAGCCAAGAGATGTTTCCATTTTCTTACACATTAGTATTTTGTCTTACTTCTACATAAATTCATGGTAATATTTTTATTTTATTTTTGACCATTATGCCTTTTATAAAACTTCAAATTTTCTATGTAAAATAATTTTTTGCTAAGTTATTCCCCTATATTGTCCCTTCAAATTCTTTATCTGTGAGTTGTTTTTAATCTCATTTTGAGGGGTTTGACTTTGTTCTCACATTAGTTCACATAGTGTCAGTTTCCGGCCACCTCCTCTTGTCCCTCCTTGTCAGGATTGCCCACTAAATCCAAGCCTTTTCCTTCTCCAACTCCTGTTGTCCTGCCTCGTGGTTTTTAAAAAACTGTTCTCACCAAACTCAAAAGCATGATATAGCCTCACAAATCACCTTAGCAATAGTTCAGAATTTGGAATTTCAGGAATTTGAAAACAAAACAAAACATAAAAGAAAGAAGCAGATTCCTTTTAAAATTTTTCTTACAGTTTAAATCAAAACAAAACAAAAAAATTAACAGCCTTCTCTTCACTGTGATCCAATGATTTCTCCCCACTCCCCCCGATACTCCCATGACTTTGTAGAAAACATGTTGGATTCACAGGAATAAAAGCGATTTTATTATGGGGACAACTTTAAGTCCATTCTAATATATTTACAAAAATAAAAGGTAGAAAAAGAGAATGGTGAAGGAGGGGAGGAGAAAAGAGAGAGAGAGGAAAAAATCACCTTCAAACTCTAGTACTTTAGTTATAAGTAGGACACAGTGCTATTAATAGCAAATTAACTTATTTTTCTGATGTAGGACTCTGCCTTAGCATCTTAGTTTGTATCTAAATTAAGTTAACCTATGACCAGAATAGATTGAACTTGTTAGTATTTTAAATGCATCTCTAGCATTGGTTATTTTTATAATATTTTAGCTCTACTAAAACAAGTAATTTTATGTAAATTCTTTAAATCCATTTTAAGTGAGGTCATTTCTGGTTAAAAAGAAAATTATTAGGGAAGTTAAGCCCCATGAGAGATAGACTTTGCCCCACCGTTTATTCTGCCAAAACTGTGCAAATTTATCTCCATGCATTGAAAGGAAATTTCTCACCTCTAGCTACTTTCCTTAGCATAGGATGGCATTGTTTTGTTGCTGTTTAGGGGCGACAGGTGATACAAATATTTAACATTTTCCTTCAAGGACACACATAATACCCTTAAGAAATTGCTACTCTGATAGAATCAGTGCTACAGCTATTGGGGAAAGAGCCTTCAGAAAAATTGCTCTAAGTTTCCTGATTCTATTTGTTGGAACATAAAATACACAAACTTACGGCTGTCTGCTTCCAACCCAGACAGAGTGTGGATTTAGAGCCCAGGCATTAGGGGCAAAGAGCGTGCCCCCATGATACAAGGCATGTTTAGGGGGACCAGGATGATTCACTACCAAAAATGTCTCCTCCATCCACTGCCATGGTGCTGGAATGGCATCATTTGGTATTAATTCCTCCACGTTGAAAGCCAAAATCCACTTACTCAGTCAGACCCACTTACTAAAATACAAATGCTCTCAACAGGAAGGATACCATATCCTGGTTCTTCTGAACACACATTTGGTGTAAATAAATTGTCAGTGGCGTACTCAGCCCTAAGGACTTGGATCTGCACTGCCTGCCTGCATGCTTTCTTTGGTGTATTAAGTCAGTTCACTCTTCTTTTCTCATGCTATGGCCACTTGCACAGTAATTTATCTGCTTCATGGAAACACACTGAGGCCTCCCCCGTCAGACACGTGCTGTATCCCAGAGGCCGCGGAGGCCCGTCTCATGCCAGGTGGTCAGAACGTGAGGTCCCCTGTAGACTTGGCTGGTGTGAGTGTGTTTGCTGTTCTCTGACTGGATGTTTGAAGAGTGGCACATCCAGGCACCTTGTGTCTTGTCTAACAATGAGTTTAAACCATCGTCAAATACCTTCTCTCACCCTCGAGAACAGGTGGGGAAGAAAAGATAGAGTAAGGCAAAGTAGAGAGACACCAAATGTGGCCCCTTTTGCCCAAGGCCAGGCCCTGCACAAACTTGGGCACACGTGTATTTCCACCCCTCGTGCTGGATGATGCTCCTGCTTGAGACGGGCCCCTGCAGGACTTCCTAATCGTGAATTGAAGATGAAACATCCTCTCCCCTAGAAACTACAGGTGGACGTGTCAACCTGCCTGTTTCCTTTCAGCGTCAGCATGACCACATGCTCCACCCTGCTCGCCCTGGGAATGATGCCGCTGTGCCTCCTCATCTATACCAAAATGTGGGTCGACTCTGGGACCATAATAATTCCCTATGATAGCATAGGTAAGTCTTTCCTCTGCAAGAGCGTTTAATGGTACCCTCAAACTCTCTGCTTCTCCCCCTCTATGTTCTCAGACCAGGCTCACCCAGCCATGATTTACCTCCTGCTCTAGTGGCAGTTTTTGCCCAATTAGAGTTTCGGTGTAAAGTCCCTCTTGCACTTGGATGGGCACTGGCAGAGCGTAAATTCTCGAGCCTTGACCCCAAGGGAGAATCTCCTTTTTCTTCAGTTCAAATCACCAGGGGGATGAGCTTCCCCCACCAGCAGTCTGGACTGAGGAGGTTTACGTGCATGTGTATGTTCATGTGATGGTTTCGTACAGAGCCCCTGGTAGGTGATCCTGAATGTCACAGTAAGAAACTACCAGAAGAAAATCTGTTCATAACACTCAGCTGTGAACCACCTCTTGATTCAGAAGTTGACTTAACGGCATGGGGTATATTTCATGCCCCGGACATCAAATTTGGTGGTTATGACTCCTTCTCCACTCATTTCAACTCCTGGATGTTCGCCCCATCCCAACGGAGCTTCTTTTCTGCTTCTGGGAAAACAAATGGTGATGGGAGATTAAGTTACTGGTGTAACATCGGGATGAGGGTTAAGAGAAGAACGAGATAGCTCCTGGCTTACCGAAAGTAGGCATTTCCCACAGAACTAGCATGGTAACAGATGATATGTAGTTGAAATAGTCCATCAGTACCAGTCAACAGGTACATTACCTGCTAAATGGTATTTTTTTTCCACTCACCTTAGAAACAAATCCCAGTGATTTGTCTCAAGAAGGTGTGAGTTTCCCACTGAATATAAGCAAAGGCCCAATGGTGACTCATCAGGATGTTTGTGAAATGGATTCCTGTTGGGGTGGGAGGCTGAACTAAAATTTCTTCCATTTCTAAGAAAGATTGGTTTTGAAATGAAATGTGATTGAGGGTATGTACAACTGAGTTAGAACTGACTTTGTGAACACTGATTGGAGATGATTTGTATTACAATATTTTCAGATAGTCTCTTCTGTCTTCTCCATCCCCTACTCTTACCATGACAGTAGACCAAAAGAAAGAAAGTGGTCCTCCTTGACACAACCTATTCAGTATGAGTTTTATCAGTACAAGATCCTTCTACTGACCCCTGGGGAACTCCTTCATATCAGATATAATCCCCTGAAAACAGATTTTAGAGTGACCCTCCATGACCACCTGCCTATGCCTCACACTTAACTCTCTGGCTTCTCCCTTAATGGACACCTTCCCTAGAGTTAAAAAATGCAGTTCATTTGAATGGTAAAAACATTGCATGCCTCTCAAATAACCTACATGCCAAGTGAGAAGTTTTGACTCCACATTACTCATTTGTATAAGAAAATAATTTAAGGCTTAAAATATTGTTCTTTTGATATTCATTCCCTTCTGGAAAGTGTCCCGTAAGAATTTTCTGAGTAATTCTAACTACAGTGTGAATGGCTCATATTATTGCCTTTAATGTGAATACATTTTGAAAGAAAGGAGGAGAAAATAAGAAATTAATTAGCATCCCAATGAAGGGAAAGGTCATGATAAAAAGAGGTCAAGAGTAAAAAGCAAAGAGAAAGAGGAAAAGAGAAAAGAAAAAGAGGAAAAGAGTAAAGAAAAAGCAAAAGGTAACGAAAAGAAAGAGGAGTTTGAAAACCAAAGATATTCACTGTGCTTCTCAGAATAATGCTTGCCCTGGCCTATTCGCCAGCCTAACGTTTTTTGCTATTGGTTTTTTTTTTTTTTTAGTCCTTTAATATAGAAAACAAATGAGCTGACTGCTTCACAAGATGTTATTGTCCCTTTATAAATGAGGAAATTGAGTCTCAGGGTAATTGTTTAATTTGCCCAAGATCACGGGGAACTGGAGATACCCCCCCGGTCTGCTTTCCACCCTGCTCTGTGGGCAGGCACTGTGCTCGGTACGGCTTGCACGCGGTGCTCAGCGTGCCCCGGCGATTCGGTAAACACCTGTTGAGCCCCCTCAGACGCCCACATCTGGATGGGGAGGAGGCAGACTGCACAACTGGAACCACTAGAGAAGCACTGTAGCAAGTTGTTGTACCTACTCCTCTCTACCCAGTATTTGTGAGTGGCTCGTGCCAAGAACCTATATCCATTTGGTCACTGTGAGGCAGACATAATTCTACCCATTTTATGCGTGAGGAAACCAAAGCTCAGGGGGCTCAGTGATTATCACAGTTCCCACAGTTTGTGAATAAAGGTTCCTCCCCCAGTCTATCGTGTTCCCAGCCCCACCACGTGAATGCATCCACCACTCTCTTTCGTTCTCAGTTTTCTTTCTACCTTTCTGTCCTCTGATACCTACTGTGTAAACTTGATTAAAGACCAACTTATGCTTTCAGTGGATAACTGTGAGCAGTTGCTTTTTCATCTTACAACGACAGGCATTTTACAGAGAAAGCACAGGCATATGAAGAGTAAGTAAAACAAAGGGAGTCTGGAGAAAGGAAAGAGCAAGAGCTTCCGCCCCTCCAGGCAGGAGCCACACACCTGGGTGGAAGGAAAGCAAAGAGTGCCTTTTCCAGGCAACTTCAAGTCCCTGAAAAACTCCATCTGGCCTCCTCTGGTCTGGAGAGGAGAAGCAATTCTGCCCTGGATCTCAGCAGGTGATCCTGCTTGCAAGTTTATCCTGTTGCCTTGGGCTGCTCAAAGAGATAAGGACTCTTTGCATGAGGGACCAAGCAGACAGGACACATTAAAACTATACCCAAAACCTAACCACACTTACATCCTAAGCACAGTATTTGCACCCAGATTTAAGCTACCACAGCACAAATTTCTATCAAGATGGTTGTAATTTAAAGCCTACAAACTTCACAAAACTTAGCAAACCAACTAGAGACCCAAGAGAAGAAGTCTTCTCCCAGCGTAGCAGATGCAGGGAAAAAGGATTTTTCTAGGCGATCTTACCAGTACATCTGCCAATGCCTCTTTTCTATATCCTTTATTCTATTATTTCTTCCTTATTCCCTCCTACCTATCTTTTTTTTGTCCCCCGTTACTCCTAGTACCCTTAGTCATTATTTAATTCTGCTGAGTAACTTCTGGACAAAAATAATTGCTGGCTGTTACCTTGCCAGGAGGACTAGAAGGTGACAAAGAAATGTTTTCATCATCGTCATGTGATGATGATGATTTAGAATTTCCTTCTAAATTAATATCAGCAGCCTTGGAATCTAGACTCTATTTTCCATCCCTGTTCAATCTACCCCAATACTAAGCAACATCCACTCTCAGAATTTCACTATTCAATTCCACTTTCTCATACTGCTTTAAAATAAAAGGATGTTTGGAAAAGAAAACCCATGAAAAGTTAGAAGTTGTTGGTATTATATAAAAACAGTTATTGGACAAATAAGTGTTAAATAATATGGGGAAACAAACCATATGTCACATGAGCAGCAGTAAATTAAGCATGGTGAAATTGAAGTATGACTCTTTTATCTGGCTGGGTGAGCACGTTGCTGCAAAGAATTATAATTACATGAGAGGTCGCCAAATATATTATCCCATGGAAAATTTAAAGCATGCTTTTTCAACCTATTCTCTCACCTCTCTGCTATAGATTTCAATAACCAATGCTAGTTTTAACTGGAAGTCCTGAGCCATCAGAATGCCTAGAGATCCTGAGCTAATTTTGAACATGTTCTTTTATTTCTTTTATTTTGAAAATATTTTGAAATATTTATTTTATTTCTACTTCCATGAAGTAACACACAGATATAAAATATCATCAATGTACAGCACAATAACACACACACACACACACACACACACACACACACACGTGGGCAAGGTATTTTTCCTAGGGGTATAAAGATCCAAAGACCAAATAAGCCAAGATTTTGACAAATTGAAACTAAAATATATTATTAGTATAAGAAACTGAAAAAATAACCCAGGATTTAGGGAAAGGATTTATATCATCAATAGTATCAATTTTCAACCAGTAATATTAAATGATTTAGTGGATTGGGTACAGAAGTAGAGTATGTGTGTGTGTTTAATTCCATATTCTGTTTTGCACATTCAAGAAGGTAGATGAAATACTACCTAAGACTTTTTCAGCTTGCTTACTCTTTTGTCTTTCTCTTTCTGTGTTATATTCTGTTATCAAATTGCTCTTCTGTCACCTTTAGGAGTTTCTTTGGTTGCTCTCGTTGTTCCTGTTGCCTGTGGAATGTTTGTTAATCACAAATGGCCCCAAAAAGCGAAGATCATACTTAAAGTAAGTATCCCATGGTATCGGCACAAGTAAATGCTCCACAGTAAGAACTGAAGTGATATGGTTTTTCTATCCACTAAATTGTTTTATTCTCATTATATGATTACCTCCTAGCAGAACCTGAAGTTATTAGCCATACAGTCCACTTTTCTAGAATGTTCTTCATTGTCCATCCACAGGACAAATTCCCATCCATCTTTGAGACACTCAATGCAAACATCGCCTCTTGGTTTTACTCTAGTCTATTACTACAGCACATTGCTGTTATCTGTGCTATGTGAGTTTGTGTTATGAAATATATCTACAGGCTGTCTTAGAAAATAGAATATATCTTTCTTATCTCTGTATCCATATGGCCACTTTGGTGCCTGGCAATTGGTATAAAAAAAAACAAAACAGTAACCATTCATTCCTCTTCACCAACTATATTCTAGCTAGTGATATGGATATGGATATAGATGATACAAATAGATTCTGCGACTCAAGGGAAAAAATAGATCAGTTAGTATTCCTTGCTTCTCTGGACAAAAAATGTTATATAATTGTTTTTAATGTGAAAAGGAGAAAATAATAACAGTGGCTTATATTTGCATATGTCATTTTTTAACTTTTATAGAGTTTTATATCCATTTTCTCATTATCATAACAACCATAAAAGGTGGCTGAAGCAAGTTTTTATCCCCGATTACAAATGAAGAGATTAAGATGGAGAAAGGTTCATGATTTACAGAGGCAGAATGGGAAGAGTTGAATCTGGAAGCCAAGTCTTCTAGGCGCTTACTGTAATGGGTTTTCTTCCTCTCTGACAAGGATAATTTGCAAACTAGAAAATCTTCTTCAGGATAATTGAGCATGGACGCTATCTGTCCATGTTGTGTTTTTAAAAATTAAAACATGGGAAATGCACCAGTATTTCCAGTGGGCTGATTGCAGCCTTCAGGCTACAAATATATAAAGAGGCAACTTTATTATCACTTCTCTAAAGGAAGGAGACAAATCATCTCTGACAAATGCATTTGGATTTGCTTTAAACACAGTGACTGAGTTCACTTCTGCCTTTTCTTCCAGGTTGGGTCCATTGCAGGTGCCATCCTCATCGTGCTCATAGCTGTGGTCGGAGGAATATTGTACCAAGGTGCCTGGGTCATCACTCCCAAACTATGGATTATAGGGACAATATTTCCTGTGGCCGGGTATAGCCTGGGGTTTCTTCTGGCTAGAATAGCTGGTCAGCCCTGGTACAGGTATGGTGTTTTGGTAAATCAGACGGGGAATTTTTGTCTCTAATAGCTGTTGTGTAAGATTGCTAGAGCTACTTTAACATAGAATCACAAACTGAGTGGCTTAAACAGAAATTTATTGTCTCACAGTTTTGGAGACAAGAAGTGAAAATGAAGGTGTTATAGGATTGGTTCTTTCTGAGGACTGTGGGGGGAGGATCTATTTATTATAAGCCTCTCTCTTTGGCTTATAGATGGCTGTCTTCTTCCTATGTTTGTCACACCTTCTCTCCTCTGTACATATCTCTGTGCCCAAATTTCCCCTTTTTATAAGGACACCAGTCATAATGGATTAGGGTGCACCTTAATGACCTCATCTTAACTAATTATATCTGCAATGATCCTATTTCCACATTAGGTCACATTCTGACCTACTAGGACTTCAGCCTATGAATATGGAAGGGAAGGGGACATAATCAACCCATCAAAGCTGTACATAATAATGACAAGATCGAAATCCTTCACCTTTAATCACATTCATCGTCCTATTTCTGAACACATCCCTTCTAAACAGGCTCATTCATTCGTAAAGTATGCAAGTCCCCAGAAAGAAAACACTGACTGCCTCCTTTTTGCTCAAATTCTTCAGGGCCATTCCCCATACAGTGCAAGTCAGCCTCTTCCATTGTTATGCATTCATATTCTCCAAGCAAAGCAAAATCAACAAATGCGGTTAGGTTGGCCTCCTGATGTAGGAGGGTCCCTCCAGCCAGCAAGAGGATGAACTTCTCATTCAAAAACACCGAATGTCTGAATGGATTTAGCATTTACGGATTTGGCACTGGGTAAAAACATTTCCTCTCCTACCAAATCTGTGTAAATCAACAGGCACATTTGGAACTGCTGCATGTGTGAGGTTGGGAGGGAGACGAAGGGCATGGGGCAGTGGGAAGAGTGCAGACTGCACCTTGCCCTCTAAGCCTGCCACACACCAAATAGCGGACGGACCTCGGGCCAGGAACTCACTCTCTCTCTGAATTTTCCTATCTGTAGAATGGAGATACCTTCTACCAGGATTTAAACAGAACAAAAGAAACTTAGCAATAAAATACTGTATCTTGAGTGTTTTCAGAGCTCCTGCTCTGTGTGCTGCACTGTTACCAAAAACATAACTGAAAAGGGTGAAAGGAACCCTCTTGCCACTTATTGAACACTGTACTAAATGAGCCCGTTCCTCATATATGTACAGGCTAAATCTATTTGATTATATTGTGTGTAAGATTATATTATTATATAATATACACTAATAAGTAATATATTTGGTAAAAGTCATGTGTCAAATAAACATATATTAAATATATACATTAAAAACATAGACAAAATCCATATAGATATATGTCCTTGTTCTCATTATGTCTGCTTTTAATGTTATACAATAACAAAGCAACAACTAAGACGCATACTTCTCTTCACCTTTCTCTTAGGTGCCGAACAGTTGCGTTTGAAACGGGCATGCAGAACACGCAGCTGTGCTCCACCATCGTGCAGCTCTCCTTCACCCAGGAGGAGCTCAACCTCATGTTCACCTTCCCGCTCATCTACAGCATCTTCCAGATCGTCTTCGCAGCGATGTTCTTGGGATGTAAGTGGCAACGCTAATCACGTGTCATTATGGTGTTCTTCTTTGAGAAATCCTTGCAGTTGCTAAAATGGCTTTTTTTTTTTAATTTCCCTGTTCCTGGCAGTGAGTTGTACAAATAAATAAGAGGAAAAGGCCCCTCCTAACACTACCATGAGTTCCCAATTGCTGATGAAGAGACTGTCACTTTACCAAAATGTTCTAGTGAAGATTACTTTTAAGTGAAAAGGAGTGGAAGTCGATTCTCCCCGTTGACTCTTTTCCTCAGTAATTAGGGGGCCATATTAACCTATTAGGAACATTTTACTGTATGCCTTCCCACATGCTTCCAGGAACTCAGAATTTTGGTGATTTTTTTTTTCAAAACATTTGTCTTGATATGCTTTGTAAATATAGGATATTTATCAGAAAATTGGTATATAAAGGATATTTATCAGGCTAAGTTATAAGGCAGAGGTGTGTGTGTATGTATTAAATGCCCATATAATTGGGACAGTTGAAGCAAAAATTTTCTTTATTTCCAGTGCCTGGCGTAGTGAACTTGATTCTTACTTCTACTCCCCTGCAGCATAAGGCTGCCACCCTCTCCCGTCAGGCCCTGCCACCCACCGGCCTTCACTTAGTGGAAACTTTTCCCTGCATTTGGCTTTCCAAGGGCTGATGATGTTTAATGACTGTTTTCTTAATTCTTTCTTTTAATAAAGAAGCTACTTTTTAAAGCTTCACGGCATTTTACCAGGGAATATAAAGGGAAGGTGCACAACAAAAATAATGTGCATGTTAACTTATATAATGCCTGGAGACACCGTTGTGTTTTGTTTTACTTTTCTACTTTGCTCCATTAAGTATTCCACTAGCCTGTGGGTGCTAATCAACCTCTGCAATCCTGTCTTGAATGTTATTCTCAAAGCAGAGGCTTCCTTTCTAGAATGGAAGAATCCACTGAAAACACTCCACTGATTTATCATGGGTCCGGAAGACAGGAGTCCATGGCCTAATAACTTTGTTCTCTTGTACAATAACCTTATTTGATTGTATACAGGTCGACCCAATTTGGCAGTGAGACTTTGCCAAACGATTATTCAGCAATGTCTACTAGACATGCTAGAGAAGTGGACTGGTTGACAGAGCAATTAAGTATAGGTGCTAGATGAACAACTAACCCAAAAGAGAATGAGTGATAGAAAATAAGTTGAAGGAATAAGGAAAAGGAAGAACTGGGACTGGTATTGTACTTTTCCACAGTTTTATCAGTAAGTATGAACATAAGAAAGGAATCTTTATTAAGGGTATACAATACCTGGAAACATATTTTAGTGATAGGATTAGAAGTCTAAGTAGTTTTTGGAATAAGGAAAGGAAAGAAGGAAAGAAAAAAGGAAGAAATGAGGGAAGAAAATAAGGAAGGGAGGGAAAAAGGGATATAGAAGATGTATAGTTTGGTCAAACAAAATCATTGGCCCAAGTACAAGTTGAGGGAGGCCCTACTCAAAAGAGTTTATAAGTGTTAGATCTTCAAATTGACCATAAGCTCAATTAAATTCAATAATATGGTTCAGTGGCCTTGAAAATAATATATTAGTAATATATTAATGCAGGGACTGATCTAAAGGAGATATTGATCTTGGCTTACTAAGATCTTTTTTTTTTTTTTGAGACAGAGTCTCACTTTGTTGCCCAGGCTAGAGTGAGTGCCGTGGCGTCAGCCTAGCTCACAGCAACCTCAAACTCCTGGGCTCAAGCGATCCTCCTGCCTCAGCCTCCCGAGTAGCTGGGACTACTGGCATGCGCCACCATGTCCAGCTAATTTTTTGTATATATTTTTAGTTGGCCAATTAATTTCTTTCTATTTATAGTAGAGACGGGTCTCGCTCTTGCTCAGGCTGGTTTCAAACTCCTGACCTCGAACAATTCACCTGCATCAGCCTCCCAGAGTGCTAGGATTACAAGCGTGAGCCACCGTGCCCAGCCTTAATAAGATCTTTGAAGCAGGTCACTGTCACTCTCAGCTGTGTATAATAATGACCATTAACATTTACTAAGCATTCACTATTGCTCACAGACCATACTAAGCACTTAATTTTATCTCATTTAATGTTCACAATTGCCCTGTATGATAGGTCATATTATCATAGCAACTTTATATGTGAGGTATTGGAATTTGAGAGCTCCAATAAATAATACCTTCTGTTCTCCTGTTGATTTTGTAACCAATGGAGAGGCAGAAGAAAAATTAGATATTTAGATAACAAAATAGCCTTTTTTATTGGAACATACAGCTTGAATCTGGGACCAAACGGGCTTGTGGAAACTGCCCCTCCACCCACTGCCTCACACATGTGCAGACATACACTCACATACACATGCATAGTAAAGACATGGACTGCAGGTCTTCCCTGGCAGGGTGGAGCCGGTTCTGGTGACCTGACCTCAAAACTAGGAGGACCAGCAGCTCCACAGAAGACAGGAAAGCCAATCAGCCAAAGCTCTTCAGCCACAGGAGAGAATGAGAGAAGGCAGGGAGAAAACAGGAGTGTTGTTCTAGTTCAAGTCCTTCCACAAGGACCATCGGCCAAGGTCTTGGACATTGCACTGCAGCATGTAGTGTATTTATTGAGGACTAGCACGTTAACTGGGATGTAGTGGTATAGAACTCTTGCTTCTCTTCATTCTTCCTATTGACAAGTACCATGTGCAGGGCTGAATGCCTGAGGAAGTCTTCTGGCTGCCCTGAGCAAATATCCCCTAAAGTTGTATGTAAGGTCTTCCTGAAGTGCATTCATCCCTCTTGCCATGAGTGGTCATAAGACTAAGAACGAAGATTGCTTTCTCTAAGGTGCCTCTATTCCTACCGAAAATGTAAACTGCTTTGAGTCATAGAGTATAATCACTATCCAAAATAGTTTTGCAGCTTATTACTGTGACATTTATTTAACTTCCTGTGTCTTATTTTCTAGGTTATTGGGTATACAAGAAATGTCGTGGAGAAAATAATGAGGAATTTCTAGAAAAAAAAGACAATGAAACAGAGTCAGAGACATCGGTTTATAAGATGAATTGATGATTTCAACCAGATGAAAAGTGGACACCAAGTAGACAAAACAGAAGAGTTCTAAAGGACAATCTTAAACTATAACTACATTTAATTACTTGTTTTGTGAGGATACTTGGCAGGAAAAAGTTAAAGTGAAAATTTCAATTTTAATTGAATTTATCTGTTGGTTTTGGTACCAAGTGGTTGTGGTCTAATTCTCTGATGGGAAAAATATTATTTTTGTGTGTATGTGTATATATGCAAGTATATATACTTCATATATGTATATATACACACGTATACTGTTATTGAGATATACCCCAAAACTATCTTCAGACTAAACCTGACATAGGTAACACTGAGAACAAGAACCTCGTAACACTGAAACTGAATTTTTAGGCAGAAACTCATAACCCAGAGATGAGGAACTGACTTTTGTAGGGTAAGGCACATGTAATGAATTAGTATTGTAGTCATCAAGATTTTCTTCAGTATTTATGATTGTGAAAAGATTGACCTGAACATATTCCACTGACATTTTAATCATTATTTTGAAAACTTTACAAACTATTTATTTATATAACTTTGTAATATAACAGGTAAATACCTGACTTCCTGTATTTTTTTTAAATACTGCCTTCTCCAGTGACAGTGCCAAAACAGAAATGTGGGGAAATTATTATGATATGGAATTCAATAACCAAATTGGAATCAGATTTTTAACTCATCAGGAATATTGCACATTGATTGCTCTACCTCAGGGAGTCCAATATGGCCATTAGAGCTTTCAAGAAAAAAGAGAATTTTTTCAAATGGTTGAATTTGGTAAAAAGCTCTTCAAGCCCTGGAAAGGGACTTCCTCAAGGTTTGCCTACGTGAGGCAGATCCACAGTGGCTAATCTGATAGCTATTCAGTTTATACACAGCATGCACAGTAGGCATTGTAAGTTGTGAGGTGGCAGGAGGTCCAAAGACAGTAGAAGTATTGGGAGAAATACCATGACTCCCAATGAATTCTATGGGATGAATGAATTCTATGGGAGATAATGTGAAATACATAGAAAAGCACGAACAACAGAAACCCAGTTGAAATGCTTGCCCAGAGTCAATTAGATGTGCAGTAGTAAGTAGTTATAAGAAGAGTCAGGTAAAGGAAGACCCAGAAAGTGAATATTAAACAGTGTTTGAAGAAGAGGACTGGTCTCAGGGTCCAGAAGTAGCAAGGGCCTTGCCAGCCAAGAGAGTGCTTTAGATGTTGTAAATAGATGTAACCAATGGAAGCAAGGAAGATTCGATAAATCCTTTGCCAGGCTTTGATGGGTGCCAGGGGCAAACAACTGGTCAAGTATTGGGTTCTCAGCTATGAGATCTAATTTAATACCCTGTCCCTCATTTTGCAGCACAATGAATGCACGTTCTTAACTCAGTCCTTAGTGGGTTTAGTTCCATTTTACATTTTGATATTTTCACTGCATTTGAAAGATTCCCTTTCAAGTGTGTTGGCTCCAAAGGGCTTTATGCATTTGAATGTTCTTGTTCAGAACCTACTGGTGCTCCTAAACATCACAGGAACAGGACATCAACTTAGTTCTTCCGGTAGAGGATAAGGGATTCTGTTTTTAAAAGTTACAGCATTTACCTTTTTATACAAGGTTCACATTTACAATTGAATAAGGCCTCCATATTTTTACATCATTAGACAAATGGACTAAAATGGACTATAGATTTTTTTTAAGGGATAGTGGGAGAGAAGGTATAGAGTTTCTTCTTAGTGAGTGTCAAAGAATATGTTTTCAGTGGTGGAAAAGAAGACTTTTCAGTCTATCGGTAAAGTACATCCCACACTTTCTCATCAAACAGAAAACAGACAGGTGCACTAAAGACACACTGTGAATTCATATCCTAATTTCAACACACCCAAAATCAAGGGCTCAGATGGTAGCAGCTGCAGCAAGCAGGTTTTGCCTCTTTGTTGATCAAGATATGTGAGTGAGACAGAACTTGGCTTTCCTACATGATGTGGTAGCTTGTGAGTTGTGTTTTTTTTCCCTAATGTGCTAGAGGGAAGAAAAATAGCTGAGCTTTCTAAAATGACAGCTCTCTATTTTTAAATGAGTTTGAAAAGTCGATTAAATTATGTATTTTATTGCCTCTGTGAGTATCATATTAAATGAATATTTTATTTTAAAGCCTTGAATAAATGAAAATAGTTTTGTAATGTTTGGTCTAATTGAGTCTTTGTGACTACTGTCAAGATTTTTCTTACTGTTCAATTCTAGAGATATAAATAAGGTAGAGTTTCTCAAATATTAAATTGTTCTTTGAAAAGTGCCTGAAAGAAACTCTTAATTAAATACTCTAATAATTAGGTCTCCCACAGATACTGATTGAGGTTTTCCCCAAGAAAATCATACAGAGGGAACATTAATCAAAGACTCTTAAAAATGGTGTGACAATGATAGCTGATTTAAAAGAATACCAACGTATTTCATGTACTTATAAATAAGCCACCACCTTTTATCAAATGGTGGTACATGCATATCTATACAGAGAAAGAGAGGCTTCAGTTATGAAGCTCATGCATTAAAATTGCCCATCATGAGACTTGAAGAAACTCAGGTTACCAAGCTCATTTGACTCCTCAAAGACATCATTCTGCTTTTCACCTAGGAAACTGTCACTATCTTCCAGCAGGAAACAATGTTTCTTCCTTAGAATATTTGCTACCCCCTTGCTTCTCAATCCTTCAGCTTTTTCAAAACCACCTCAGTTTAGAACAAGTCTTCAAAGTGTGGCATGGGCACCCCCAGGAGTTCATGAAATTGTCGCAGGCACCAATGGGGAAGCAGTTTCACTTTCCTCAACTTCCAGACGCATGATCTCCCCGAAGCCCCTGCCTGAGACACCCAGGGCTTGAATTGTCCTGGCTTCTCCTTCCCCGCCTCTTCTTTCATAGCCAGGCGTCCCCCCTTGGAAAAGTAAGGCCTTATTCTGAGGCCTAATCTTACCATAGTACATTGGTCCTGGGGGGAAAACTTTTTTAACACCAGATGATTCAAAATATTGGTATCTGAGAAAAGCTTCTTGTCTTTCCTATTTGTACACATACTTACTTAAGGATTTAGAAATGAAGTGTTTTGGCATGTGTTGGAATATTTTGAATATAGAAATAATACAAAGTGGGGTGGAAGAGAAGATAATTTTGTTAATGTGCCAGCGCTTCCATCCCCAACTATTTACCCCAAAAAAAGCACCAACTTGGAGGGTAATCCTGTGGGAGCAAACAAAGGAGCTCTGGTTGGAAATATTGAAAGAGGACACCTGTTTTTGTTTTTCCTTCAAGAGATACCAAGCTATGGCAAATGTCTGAACCTTACCTATTAAGAGCTATCCAAAACAGGAATTCAGGTGTGAAATAGTCAACACAGCAGCCCATGTTCTTGTATTTGTTAGAACTGAAATTGAGATCAGATACTTTTTTTCTGACAGAAAGAAAGTGTAAATTTGGTTGATTGGTGTGACAAAGGTCCTTGCTTTGCCAATTAGGATATATGAAGGACATTTTTCATAATTTAGATGAGTCCAATCTGCAGCTCCTAGGCTTAAAAAACATATTTAAAATGTATGATGATATTAAAAGCACATTATAAAATAATTGATCTAAAATATATAAAGAACTCTAAAACTCAATAAATAAGTCAAGCAATCCAATTAAAAAAATGAGCAAGAGAATTTGAAGAATTTTTTGACTTCAGCAAAAAAATGTCAACTAAAGCAAATAAGCACACAGCAATGGCAAATAAGTACATAAAAAGATGCTCAACACTATGTAATAGTTAGATGAATGCAAATTAAAACTACAAGAAGGTACCACTGCATGCCCAATAAATAGCTAAAATGAGAAAATACTGGTGATGGCAAGTGTTGACAAGAATGTCAACAGCAACTCACACACATTACTGGAGATACTTTCAAAAACACTTTGCAGCTTCTTATAAAGTTAAACACACGCTGGCCATATGACCCAGCAATTTCTCTTCTAGGTATTTACCCAACGTTACTAAGAATAAAACAATAAGGACAAAACTGCTAATCGGGGGACAAGTGTCAGGAATTGCTACTAAAAGGCATGAGGAACACTATGGGATGATGGATATGTTCTATATATAAAGACTTCGGTGGTGGTTACCCAATTTTACACATTTGTCAAAATTCACAGAGCCATACATTTAAAATTAGTGAATCTTTTTCTAGTAAATTTTACCATAATAAAGCTGACTAGAAATTTTATTGGCCAAGATGTAGCAGAAAAATTTCTTCAATATTTTTATCTTCTCAACCCTTTCTGAGAATATTGAGTTAAGTCCAGAAACTCTAAAGGAAAGAGTAATGGCTCTAATAATAGCTATTTGATAAGTCTAGTAAACCCTTTGGTAGCATACTTCCCAGAAATTGAAACAGTGAATGACTTCAGTCCAGAAACATTTTGAAAGATGAGTATTTCCAGTTCTTTGCTTTCAACAAAAATGAAGGAGGATCCCATTAAGTTTCCAATCTTTGTACTGAAAAAAGTTTTGATGATATACCACTGTGGGAATTTCCACATAACTTGGAAATTTGAGGGACAATTTATACTAAAAGTCCTCTGATTATCATCCACCTCTTTATGTAAATAAGGTTCATCAGCACTGAAGTCTATTGGGGGAAAAAAAGGGGAACAAAATAGATGCTGAAATCGTCTCTCTGTCTAACAGTGACAGCAAATTCTCCATAGCACGTATGCGTTCCAGGCTTTCATCTGAGTTATTTACATAAGTGAGTCTATTTAATCTTCACAATAACTCTACAGCTACAGTCACCAACCACCAGGCTGCGGACCAGTACCAGTCAGTACCAGTCGGTGGCCTGTTTAGAAACCAGGCCACACAGCAGGTGAGCAGGAGGTGAGCAAGCAAAATTCATCTGTATTTACAGCCACTCCCCATGGCTCACATCACTGCCTACTCTCCCCTCCTGTCAGATCAGCAGCGGCATCAGATTCTTACAGAAGCGTGAACCCTACTGTAAACTGCACAAGCGAGGGATCTAGGTTGTGGCTCCTTATGAGAATCTAATGCCTGGTGATCTGAGGTGGAGCTGAGGTGGTGATGATAGTGCCAGGGAGCAGCTGCAAATACAGAGTATCATTAGCAGAGAGGTTTGACTGCACATAAATGTGATGCACTTGAGTCATCCTGAAACCATATCCCTCCTGCTGCCCCCCGGCCAGTCCTTGGAAAAATTGTCTTCCATGAAACTGGTCCCTGGTGCCAAAAAGGTTGGGGATCACTGCTCTACAGGATGTTTCTCCTCCTTTTACATTTGAGAGAACTTAGGCACAGAGAGGTTAATTTATTTTCCCCATGTCACTCAGCTGGCAAGTGGCAAAACTTGAATTCAAGAAGTTCAGTTCCATATTCTTTACTGTTGAGCACAGCACTAAACTACATAACATTCATCCACAAATACACAAAATGTCAAATTTTTCATAAATTTATCACATTAGAATAAAATTCTATAGTAATAAGGAATTAACATGCAGATTCAAGTATAAAGAAAAACAATGTGAGATTCCCAAATATGAAAGCTATGACGGATGTAGATTCCATTGGATATATTTAAAACTGATATAACAGTTTAACTTTAAAATTTCAGTTTTTAAAAAATTATATTTGCAATTTTTACCAGAAATTGAAGTTGTAATTATTTAAAATTATGATGACAAATGTTAAACATCAACCAAGAATGTACAAAGTATATACAGGCTTTAAAAATTCTTACGGAGGTATGCAACCCAAGTTTCCTTTTTTCCTAAATTCCAGTTGTCTGGCCTTCTATTAACTTGCCAAGTATTGAATTTAATACTTAGTCAGTGTTATAAACTTGGTAGAGAAAAGCTAATTCTAAAGGATGATGATTATCTTTGCTGGTAATAAAATGCATACAAACAAATATACATATATGTAATAAGAGAGAAAATATCATTTAAAATAAAAAATAATAGTTTAGGATGTTTAAATAGAAAGATTACTTGCAGAGTTTTCAGCTGAAAGACTGACCCATACAATATAAATGAATTCTTAAGTCATTGTGGCTACACTCTTCTCAAACAAGGAGAGTTCAAAAAGAGTAGCTTTGAAAAATAACAAATATGACTGCCCTTTTGCTACCACGGGCATAATGATTCCTTTATGTCTCTCTCATGGCATTAAGAAACATAATGGCTAAGGTTTCTAAGCCGTATCTCAATCCTTTAAAGAATCAATGAACAAAGTACAGACATTCATTATAAACAGAATGAAACAGTGAGGCAAAAGAGCTATGAAATAATGTCAAGTGAAAAAAATAAATTGGTAATTAACAACCTTTAGTTCATTGGTAAATAATTATACATATTGAAATACATGCAAATGATAAGGATTAAAAGGAAAGGAAACAATTTTTTGAGGGAATGATGCCATGTGTTGATTTTTTTCAATATTTTTCTTCACTCTCATATGATACAGGAGGATTAAATGAAATCAAAAGAAAAAAAGCAACATTAAGGGGGTTAATATGGGTTCCCTGAGATCAAAGTACAGGTCTGGTGGATATTGTCAGAGAGGGAAGAAATAAGTCTCCTTACCGGTGCTGAAGTTTCTGCCACCTGCACCTTGTCTCTACCCACTGGCCCTACGAGTCTCTGCCCTTCACCAGCAAAGAACAGGCTTTCCAAGTGTGGCAAACAGTATCGTCTGGTTAACCCAATGCTCACTTCCAATTCCCTTCTCCATTTCCACATCAACTGAAAACGCATGTGCTCAACTAGCTTGCAGCTAGGTAGCCATGAAACATATTTCTAGACAATTACATAAAAGCAGAAATCTGTTCAGGAAGATTCTAGTAAAGTCTTCGGTAATTTTTTATTTCTGTTGCTAAGAAGGCACCTGGCATTGGTCCTTCTCCCACTCCTGCCTTAAAGAAAAAGGGTTTCCCGGTTCTGTAACAGTATCTATGAAGGAAGAACACAGAACAGCACAGACATAAGCTCTAACAGTGTTAACCCACTGAAGCAAGGCCAGCAGCTGCCTGCCTCTAGACTTATTGATACCTGAGCAAAACAAATACCTATTTATTTAAGCTGATGTTACCCAGATATGTTTTTTCTTGCAATTAGAAAGATTCCTAATTTATAGAACTGCTGATCCCTATAACTGGAGTTGTCTTAGGTGTAATGTACCCACACAAACACCAATTTGAGGAATCTGTGATTCCTGGACAAGAGAAAACTTAAAGGGGTAAGAGAAATGTCAAGACAAAGTTTCTTCATATATTCATATAGAATTCTGCTTGGGGCACAGTAAGGTGAAAAGTTCCATAAAAGCAATGACCATAACATTGAATTGGTCATATCTTTCATTATCACAAAAGAAACGCGATATATACTTGTGAAATTGAATATATTGGCCCTGAATCAGAATACAAAAATTGTTGCTCATGTTCAAGCCAAAAGAATCTTCTCCATGGGCTCAAATTTAAAGGTAGCAAACATAGAAGTTGCAGATATAGAGAATAGGAATCACTTTTGTATTTTTTATTTTTTAGTAGTTACTGCCAAGATACATGTTGGGAATATTTCACTTTGTACACAGTATGATTATAATGATTTTTATTAATTCTCTTTAGACCATACAAATTTATTTCAAGGATAATTGCACTATTTGTTTGCTGTGATGAAAATGAAGTCCTGCCATATAGCAATTAGGTAGGGGTAGAAGGACAGAAAACAAAATGAAAATTATGTAATTCTAATGTGTAGTAATAGTTTTTAAAGCTTTCAAATACATATTTATTAGAATGGGTTTCCAACTGCACAGAATCATCCCTCAGACTATCCTAAGACTGTTGAGTAAATATGCATTAGGCACATTTTGAAGCACTCATTATTAACTCAGTCAACCAGAACAAACCCACTAACAGCAAGTTTATCTGGTTTATCAAGTGAATCTAGACTAAGTTCTTGGGAATGTGCTTAAATGTTACATTTATTCATTAGACCTCACTAGAATCCCAAAGTAATATATTCATTCTGCCAGGAATTTTTAGTGTGCTGTGTCAAATTAGGTTCTCCAACATGCTGAAGTGACATAATGTGCTTAACTTTATAACCCAGGTGTTAATTCTCATACTATAAAGGGCCATGAATGAATCATCAACATTATAAAGAGTTTTGCTACCTTTGGTCTCTAAATTCCTCATATGTTGTCTCTTCAAATGTTTCCAGCCCTCATCTCTCCATGCATATTAGGAAATTTGGTCTCTTTCTTCTTCACCTGAAGAATCTACTGTTGAGTCTGAGAAATTTCCTCAAGCCAAACACTGATGCTTCCCCAAGGCCCCTCAACAAGGTTCTGGCCTTAAAGTTGCTCCCAAACCTAGCCTCCCTTATAAAGAAAGAATCTCCACTTCCATAGGGCCAAGGAGATGAGAATGAAATCACTTGTCCAGCATGAAATGATATCTCTATAACAATCACTTTCTCTTACATGACACACACCATCCTATTGGTTAATATGCTGTAAATTATCTAATTTTCAGATTTGATTATTTCCTTATTATTTCCAGCTCCTCTAAACTCCCATAGTTTCTATTATCTGCACTATCATTTGGTCCTTTGCAAAAGCTTCTTTTGTTAGTTTTCTTTCACCTTCTCCAAGCCTTATGAATAGTTAGGGTCTGATGAATATTCATTGACTAATAGCTATTTTAAAGTTTTATAAGTCTTTGAAAGACTCAACATGTCTTTAATTTTTTTCTACATCATCTAGCAAAAGTGTTCTTATTTTTGCCTTTCAAAAAATCACTAGCCCTACAACATACTTTGTAACTCACAAAATATACATTGACTCCACACATACATTTCAGCAGCCTATTTACAGTCCTACATTGCTGTTCTTACCAAATGTTTTCTGCTTACACAAATAACCATTTGTTTAGGGCTTGTAGCTAACCTTTACCTGAATTATCATAAAATCCTTGGAAAGACTTACAAGTAATGACAGCAGTTACCAAGGAGCAAACTGCGATCACACTCGTGTGTGTGAATGCGTGTTTCATGTGTCTAATTAATATAGAAGGATCCTGATACTAATGCGGAAGATGTTTTCCACGAGATACAACACTGCTGTTGCAAAAGCAAGATGCATATTTGCAAAAGAGAGACCCTTTGGTTGCAGTTAATACGTGTTGTCCATCTTACTGACGCTTGCTTCCCCTTATTACACCATTTTCTGACAATTCAGAAAGGGCTGTGTCTAGTAGTTAACTTCTACCCAAGAGCTTCATTCCTCAAGATAACACACTTTCCGTACCTAGTCCTGCCTCTTCCCTTCTAACTCCCCTTTTCAAGGACTTGAACATTTTATAGACTTGTAAAGAAGCTGTATTATATCTGATGATGATGGGCATTAGGCATACACCTTAAGTTCTGTTCATTCCACATTTCACCTTATCTCCTCTTTTATGACTGTTTTATTGTCATTGGGGTTACTGAATCATAAGCCTAAGAGGAAAAATGTTCCGTTTATTTGGGGGCTACACCCACATTCCGAACCTTCATAACATCTCACGTTTCAGTTCATTAAAACGTCTGTGTGTCGTATTACGAAACCTCTCTTGCATTCACTCTACCAACAGGGTAACCTCCATGAAGTCAGGGATTTTTATGCTCAATTTTACAACCTTAGCATTTAAAAAGTAATGCCTGCCTCATTGTAGGCACTCAACAATATCTGTTCAATAAAAGTCTATGAAAATTAATGTTAAGAATCCCAACACATGAAATACTTTGCATCTCCCGTTTTCCTCCACTTTCTCTGCTCCTTATAAATGCTCTCTTTATCTTTCCATGATCCCTCAAACCCAGTTGTGAACATCGCTGGATATTTATTCCACCCCTTTATGATCTTCAACTACAGAAAATAGGTCATTTGCCTCATGAAATTAGATTTAGCAGCTTTAACTTTGATGCTGTTACTGATTCCAACATCTCTATTTCCAATCCCGCCATTTTATTTACACTCTAGTCCCCAGATCTCTAATTGCACACGGGACGCTACTACTTTAAGGTGATACCTGTGTCCTCTTCAGACTGAAACTGGATCTACTTACCTAATTCCATTCTTTCTATCAATAGAATTCTCCCAATTAGCCCAGTGAAAATCTGGAGCTATCTTCTACTCTTCCTTTCCTTTTTGTCCCACAGCCATCCAGTTAAAATGACCTGTCTAACCTTAACTCAAAAAGCTCCTGAATACAGTCCTTCCCCTTTGTTCGCGTAGCCATATTCTGATAGTGGCCCTCATTTTCTCAAATCTGGGTAACTACGTTAGCCTCTTAGTTTATCTCTATTCATCTCTTTCCTCTGAAATCCTGTACACCCAACACTTGACAGCATGTTAAGCAAATATTAGGAGTCAGGTACTATGTGTTTAGTGAACGAGTGGAAGAATTAATGGATAAATGTTGTTCACATAATGTGCCTTAGACACTGAGCTCATCACCGTCACTCCTGTCCTAATATGTCTGAACCCAGACTTCAGATCTGTCTGTAATCTGACTCCAACTTTTGGCCACTATTTCCAAATTACTCCAGTGTCCCATGGAGCTTCTCCTAAGCAGGGCAGACTCGAGTTCTCTAGCTCTAAAAAGCACCTCTCCTCTCTTCACACATGCAAACTTTGCCCTGTCACCTCCATGAATAGATGTCTAGAATAACTTGTGTCCCTCATTAGCCTCTCATCTTCTCTGAATTCCCCTGACATTCTCTACATAGTAGTAATAAATTTTGACATTCTAATCTGCAATGTCATTTCACTACTTCTTGCACATAAGCCTTTTTCCTTCAGCAAGATCCACATAATCCTGGAGAGCTGAGACTATGTCTTAAAGTCTTTGCTTGACTGACACCAATGATTTAAAAGATGAAATATTTCTTTAACTGTCTGCATACTTCATTTTACCTTTGCATGTTTCCTGTGAAGAACATAGAAAAAAACCAACATTATATTGGAACTAATCAATCAATGCTTATATGCACACATGGAAATAACACTTGTCAGAAATCAAGCAGGTGGGAGGAGGAGGGGGAATGGGTAAATTCACACCTAATGGCTAAAGTGTACACTGTCTGGGAAATGGGCACACTCGTAACTTTGACTCAAGCAGTACAAAAGCAATTTATGTAACCAAAACGTTTGTACCCCTGTTATAATCTGAAATAAAGTTTTCTTAAAAATGGAAACCAACTTTACACATAACAGGCTCCTGAAAGGAGAGAAAAACCACACATTCTACACCAATTTATTAACATGGAGTATATAACTCAAGAGGAACTTTATTTATAAATAAAGTTCCCTAAATACTTACATTAATAGCCAAGAAATTTAAAAAGTAAAATATCAGGATCAGAAACAGAATATTTTATTTTGTTACTATTGCTTCCTCAAATGCCCAAAATTGACTTACTAACTCTTCATATTAGTAGTCAGTTAAAATGAGAAAAAATATATATACTTCCTCCTGTTTTTACATAAAAAATATCTAGAGAAATGTATTTCATTTGAAGGTTTTCCATGTACTTAAGAATAACAAATCTGTACAACCCGTTTTTAAAAGCATCCAGTAATATAATAGTAATGTCAAAAGAAAAACAATAGAGATAGAAATCAGATATC